GGGGGTGTGCTGACGGGAGATGGAGTGGAGAGCAAAAATGGGAGGGGGATAAGTGTACTTACAATGTCAAGGACTAATACGGAGGAGGATGCGTCCTCCCCAAGGTGACGCCCCCCACTTCCTCCGCGTTGCCTCCTTCCCCCTCCCCTGGGGGGTGGGGGACGCCAGAGGCTCCTTTCCTTAATAAGGATTCCAAACTGAGACTCCCCTCCCCCATAGCGGGGGGGAGGGGGAGAAACGGAAGAGTCACCCATGGTAGCCAGACAGCTGGGACCTTACCCCCATTACCACCACCCACTGCACACACCCAAAGGGAAGGGAGGAGACTCCTGCCGCTGCCTCCCGCACTTTTCATTTCCCTGACGGCCGGAACAGCGCGCGCGCCACCCCCACCGCCTTCCCCGCCAGAACCCCGCGACACACAGGAACCGGCTCTGGGGCGGGGGCGGCCGAGCCCAGGGTTTTCCAGGCGCGCACTCCAGAGAAGACCGGGCGGGGGAGGGAAGTAGGAGACACTGAGAAGCCGGAGGGGAGAGGGTGCCTCTTGTCCCGCTTTCCTGGCCCGAAGAGGGGATTGGTTAGGGTGCCAAATGACTGGCAGTCAGAGTCAGGGCTGGGGAAGGGAACGGGTCACCACGGAGGCAGCCGGCTAGGGTGCCCGAATGGAAGGCCAAACCGGGGGTCTGGACCACCGAAGCATCTTGTTGATTGTTGTTGGGACCAGGATGTCCCTATAGGGCGGCACCGGGATGTCCGGAGCCGGGGACGCAGGGCGGAGGGGGAGGGGAGACCCGTCCCGGCGGTACCTCCAGCATCCAGTACGCCAGCATCTTCCGCATGTGCGGCTTGATCTCCCTCTGCACGCATTGGAAGTAGGAGGCGCGGGGCACATAGCGCTCCTCCAGCCGGAGCAAGCTCTGCAGGACACGCTGGTCCCCCAGCAGTCGCGGGTCCGGCCCGGCCCGGGGCGCGTGCCGGGAGCCCTCGCAGCACAGCAGCTCCATCCTCGGGCAGCACACAGGCAGGGCGAGAGTGCGGGCTCGCGAGCCAGAACGCAGGCGGCAGGCCGGAGAGCGCGGGGCGCGGGTCTGGTGCTGGCGCTGGCACTGCGCGGCGGAGCCCCAGCCCGCCCGCGCCGGCGCGCGCGCCGCTTCCCTGACAGGCGCCCCGCCCCTCGCGACGAGGTAGCGACCGTGGAATGCTCGAGCGTCGCAACGTTCCAAGGGGCGGGGCTGCCGGCGCCCAGACGGAAAGGGCTGGCGGGCGCTCCCCCTCCCTCCCCGCGGCCGCATTGGTCGGCGCGGCGCGGGCCGGCCGGCTTCCGGGCGCTCCGGGCCCTTCTGACCACCCAGTGGAGAGAACTATCTTGGAGGTGGGCCTCTTCCCCAGCAAAGAGCCCTCCCATTTTGCTTCTCTGTCTCTAGTTGCCCAGGAAAGAACTTTTCTGCAATGGTTATTCATTCATTCGTCAAACCCTACTTCACCCACTGCTTGCTCTAGGGACTATAAATAATAAAATAACTAGTTCTTAGTGAACACTGTTCTAAGCACTTAAAGTGTAATAACTTATTAAATCCTCACGAAAACTCCATGAGTTAGGTATTACACTTATTTTGCAGACGAGGAAACTGAAGCACAGTAACTATAACAATCATGCAGTCAGTCTGCGGCAGAGCTGGGACTGGGCAGCCGACAGTCTGCCTCCAGAATCTGTGCTCTACGCCATTGCTCCTTAAACTGGGATCCCCAGACCAGCAAGATCTGCACCGCCTGAGAGCTGGTTAGAAATGCAGACCCTCAGGCCCACCCCTGACCTGCTGGATCAAAATCTGCATTTTAACAAGATCCCCGTGATTCCTGCGCATATTAAAGCGTGAGAAGGGCTGGTCGAAATCAGCACATTACAGAAACACAACAGGGCGGAAAGGCCATGGATTCAAGGCCTCACCTTGTCATTAAGTTGGCTCTGTGGCCTTGGACAAGCCCTGAAATCCGCCTTAGTTTCTGTTTGAGGAAAGAGTGGGCGGAGAAACTAGATCCTCTCTGAAGGAGTTTCTTGATCAGACTCTACAAAATCTTCCAGTTGCCATTTCTTCTACCTCCCAAACTTTCCCCAAAGCTGGATTCCACAGGACCAAGAGGCAGACCACAGGCCTCCAGTTATGCTCCAATGGAAGGAGGCCTTGGGGATCCCTGCCTCTCCTGGGGTCCTCCCAAGGGAGGAGACACTAAGGAAGTGAGTTACTAGAGAAATGACACTGGACAGAAAAGGCAAGTTCTATGTTAAGCATTTTCTCAATGAATTGTTCTTTTTTATAGAATAAATCTTATTGTAGTTTCCAAATCATGGAAATATTCATTCGCATTGCAAAAACTTAGAAAATACAGATAAGCCACACAAAAAAAGGGAAAATAATAATTACTTGCAATTTCACCATCCAGAGATAACTCTTTAAAACGTCAATGTTTATTTTTCTAAAATTGTTCTATAAGTAAACACATATTTTTCAAAATGAGATCGCAAACTGTTTTGTAAGCTATTTTTGTCAATAAAAAATATACTGTTAACACTTTTCCATGTCGTTAAATATGCTACATTATTTTTAATGGCTACACAGTATGCCATTCGGTGAATGTATCATAATGCATTTTACCAAATCCGTATTGGTGGAAATTCTTCTCTATTAGAAACAATATGTAAAATATTTTTGTGGTAATATCTTTGTGCAGACTCATGATTATTTCTAGAAGTGAATTAATTTCTAGAAGTGGAATTTCTCAATCTAAGGTTATGAAACATTCTAAGGCTTTTGATACAATTCTTATTACCAAATTTCCCTGCTGAAAGGCTGAACCAATCTAATGAACAAACATTATATATCTATTTTAAAAAAACCACAACTCTGCCAACTGGAGAGATGAAAAGTGGTTTATATTTTTTAATTCAAGAGCCCTCGTTGTGCCAACATGAATGTGTCACGTGCTTTGTCTAATCTTGTAAGTCCTTTACTCCTGTCTTCAGAAATATAAGTATGAAGTTTCTTTAGCTAATTATTCATTGCATTGCACTCTTTCATTAAAAAGAACAATAGATTTAAAATTATAAAGATTAGGTATGAAATTATGGGGAGGCAAAAATGTTGAAGTGTAAGAGGTTTTTAAGGTGCAGGAAGACTAAAAAAATCTAGCTTTTGAAGTAAGTACATAACCAGAAACCAGATCTGTCTTGAAGGAAGGTGTTTCTTTACTTTCAGAATTATCGAATAGGACTGTTCAGGTTAGAAGATTGTGTATTTTTTGTGTGTGTGTGAGAGGAAGATCAGCCCTGAGCTAACATCCATGCTAATCTTCCTCTTTTTACTGAGGAAGACCGGCTCTGAGCTAACATCTATTGCCAATCCTCCTCCTTTTTCCCCCAAAGCCCCAGTAGACAGTTGCACCTCCTTCTAGTTGCTGTATGTGGGACGTGGCCTCAGCATGGCTGGAGAAGCGGTGCGTTGGTGCGCGCCCGGGATCCGAACCTGGGCCGCCAGCAGCAGATCGCGCGCACTCAACCGCTAAGCCACCGGGCTGGCCCAGACTGTGTATCTTTGATGAGAGAGTTAATCACCATTATTTTAAAATTTTTTCCCAGCTTTACTGAGATATAATTGACATATATCAATTGTATTAGTTTAGAGTATACAACATAATGATTTAATATATGTATACATTGCAAAATTATTACAATAAGTTTAACATCCATAACTTCACATAGTTATAATTTTTTTTCTTGAATGAGAACTTTTAAGATATATTCTCCTAGCAACACTCAAATATACAATACAGTATTGTTAACTATAGTCACCGTGCTGTACATTATATCCCTAGAACTTATTCATCTTATAACTGGGAATTTGTACCTTTTGAGCACCTTTCTCCATTTCAGACAACCTCCAATCTGTTCTCTATTTCTATGAGTAAGGAGTTTTAAATTCCACGTATAAGTGAAATCAAACAGTATTTGTATTTCTCTGTCTTATTTCACTTAGTATAATGCCCTCAAAGTCCATTCATGTTACTGCAAATCGCAGGATTTCCTTCTTTTTGTGGCTGAATAATATTCCATTGTATATATATACCACTTTTCTTTTTTTTCTTTTCTTTTTTTATTTTATTTTATTTTATTTATTTATTTCCCCCCAAAGCCTCAGCAGATAGTTGTAGGTCACAACTGCACATCCTTCTAGTTGCTATATGTGGGACGTGGCCCCAGCATGGCCGGAGAAGCGGTGCATCGGTGCACGCCCAGGATTGAACCCAGGCCACCAGCAGCGGAGTGCACGCACTTAACCACCAAGCCATGGGGCCGGCCTATATACCACTTTTCTTTATGGAGAAAGAAAACGAGAGATGAAAAGTGGTTTATTGGTAATAATATTTTGACATATTATTTACATTTCTTATGTAAATTAATTACCTATTCATGTTTCTGTCCATTCTTTTATAGGGATGTTTGTTTTCTTATTGATTTATAAGTGCTCTTTATATTTTAAGGACATTAACCCTTTTTCATACTTTTTTCTTTGTCACAAATTTTAGTTCACTGTTTCCGTTTCATTTTTGGTTCATGGTGAAGTTCTTTTTTTTAACAAATAAAAGGTTTATGGGGCCGGCCCGGTGGCGTAGCGGTTAAGTGTGCGCGCTCCACTGCAGCGGCCCAGGGTTCACAGGTTCGGATCCCGGGTGCGCACCAATGCACCGTTTGTCAAGCCATGCTGTGGTGGCGTCCCACATAAAGTAGAGGAAGATGGACACGGATGTTAGCCCAGGGCCAATATTCCTCAGCAAAAAGAGGAGGATTGGCAACAGATGTTAGCTCAGGGCTGGTCTTCCTCAATACATACATACATACATAAATAAATAAATATAAAAAAATAAAATAAAAGTGGTTACAAATTAAAAAAAATAATAAAAGGTTTTTATTTTTATGTAGCCTTATTTACTGATATTTTCTTTAATGATTTTTGCCTTTGAATCATGCCTTCCCCATCCTAAAGTTATATAAGTACTAGAAGAAAATGTAGGAAATACTTACAGATGATTTTTTTTATCACCCAAAGAGCTTGCCGAAAATGCAGATTTCTGAGCCCTGCCTCAGGGCTTTTCATTCTTTGAGTATGTGATGAGGCCCCCAAAATCTGCATTTTCAAGAGTACCTACAATAAAGTTTTGTTGTTTTTTTTTTTAATGTGTAAATTGTCACCTACATTTATTCAGTGGTATCATATTAAGTGGGGGTCTAGCTTTAGTTTTCCCAAATGATCAGCCACTGTGTCCCACGGCCCTGATTTAACAATCTGTTCTTTATTTCCCTTGACTTCCCTGCGATGAGCACCCCTGGGCCTGGCTCTTGCATCTTAGATGATGCCTTCTTTTGGTTACTTATGGCTAAAGACTTTTACTGGGAACTGGCCCTCAGAATTCCTGCCACTTTTGTCTAAGGAACTTCTGGTCTTTACCCCAATATCAGGTAAAAAGGTGCTTAAGCAAGACACCAAAAGCTCATTTAGTCTGAAATAACCACTGCCCTCCACTTCTAGAGAGAAGTGTCCTTCAACTGCAGCAAGAGGGATGTAAGTTAGATAGCAGGGAAGACTCCAGTTAGACAATGATATGAGAAAGAGAAAAAGAGTAGCAGAATCATCTTCTCTGTAGACCTCTAAAAACCTAGCAGGTTCTTCATTGCCTTCCCCATCTCCTTAGTCCCCCTTCCGTCACTGGTCAGCCCATTTACCCTCTCTTCTCAGTTTATGTATTCAATCTTCAAGGCCCAGTTCAGATCCTACCTCCTCCAGGAAGCCTTCCTAGAACAATCCAGCTGCAGGAACCTACCCTCTGGCCTCCAAACTCCTGCAGATCCCACTGCACATGCCCTGCATTTGGCTGGTTCTGGACCTGCTCTCTCCCTAGCCCGAGTGTAAGTTCCTGGAAAGGGGAAGACGATCCACATGAATTGAGATGTCACTATGTACCAGGCACTGGTCAGGGTGTTTACAATCCACTGTCTCACCCTCTCAGATTTATTTTCAGATGCAAAAACTGAGGTACAATGGAATTAA